TTGATTGAGGTTTAAAGATTGGCTGACTATTGACTCTATTGTCCCCTTGAGACCAACTGAGGATTTCCCGGATCCGTTCCCTCCCCACCCCGGTCGCTGGAAATACGTCTGATGTGATACCCCTTCGTTGTTGGTGAAATGGCAGAGTATGGACCCGAAAACTGGTGACAGCAGCACCACCCTCTCATGCTTGTAGATTTGTGACGCTTCATTTACATATTTAGGAATAAGCATGGGCTGTGCCCACAGGATAAGGTAGACTGGGAGAGAAGTGGGTAAGGAAACGCAGGGTGCCACTGGTGGGCCCCAGTGGCCCCTTGGTGTCTCCGGGTCAAGGATAGCAGGGTTAGCCTTCTTGACCAGTCAGTTTTTCACAAGAAAGATGGCTACGACATTGGCTAGATAGGGTGGATGGATGCTGACGGAGAGCCCTTCTACAACCTGCTCAGTCAATCCTCTGGAATCCAGAGTCATCAATGCTGGCAGGCTTTTTTCCAGTCTTTTTTCCAGTCAATCCTCGTGCTTTCGTATGTTTCTGTATTATTTTTGCATAAGGGACGCTGGACCCGTTTTCCAGCAGGTGATGCTCCCCACCGATAGATGGAGCCTCTCCTCAGGTGCTAGCGGTGGCTGCTCTTATCTGCTGGAAATCGGGTCCAGCGTCCCTGTATAATGATGTGAATATATTGCTGACTGAGCAATGATCTGCCCTGGGTTCCGACCGTGTTGCTAACAACCCAGAGTAGGTATACTGTATAAGTGCTGAGTGAGTGTACGGTTGACTGTACGGGCTGTTCTTATTGTCCGTTGTGTAAAGTAGAGTCATAGGCAAGGGCCTTAGTAGGGATCTTGTGCTGAGGGCTCCCTTAGGCCTCGAATAGGATAGACAGTCTGCCTCCAGCGTGAACAAATATAGTTGACAGCCAACAACGATTACAGCAACAACAAGTAATAATCTCAATAGTATGCACAGTGAACAACCTCACAACAAGACCAGTAGTAACAAATAACTGTGTACACAACGGTAGGGACAACGAATAGGTCCACCTATGAGACTTGTAGAGAACATCCATACCTAGCGCCTGAAGTACCCGTGCGACTGGGCTCGTGCGACTATGCTTCGATTAGGTCTGAGTAGGGTAAGTGGGACTGTGCTGGGTAAGTGGGACTGCGCTTAGCCCTGGTACCTGCAACTGCCGTCCGGTCAAGGTCTCCCCTGAGTGAGTGATAGTCCTGAGTGCTAGACACTGAGGTAGGATTGTAGAAGAAGGGGAGGGTTGGAAGGGAGTCTCAACGGGCCTCTATAGACTGTCTGATAAACCACACGGCCAAGTGCCGAAGGTAACTGTCATATGTCCAGAATTCGACCACAGATGTTCAAAAAGAAAAGGGGGGCCAGTACGTTGGAGTCACACCCAACGTTCAGAATAGGCAACTTTAGAAGTTCCTGAAATGGAGCAAAAAAGGCGACCCTAAATCTGCCAAGCACCACTGCAGGTAATGACTGGCGCAGTTTTACACCCCTGCTAAACTTGCACATGTTGGAACTCAGACCATGACACTGGCGTCACTTTTGTCTTTTCTTGCCTATTTCAAACTAAAAGTGTGTCACAGCCACAGTTTCCCCAAAAAAGAAACTGGTGGTGCATGTGCTGTAGTCTCCCTGGAATGTAGAGGGAGATTGCCCTCCGTGTTCGGCATACCAGATATGGGGCCAGGAAGAGTCAATGGACCAGCGGCAAGCCCTCACAGTCCGCGCATAAGCCGGTACTAGCCTCACAGACGCAGGGAACAGCTTCTCTGGAGAGCATTCCCCTCTCCTGGTCAGTCCTTTTGGAAGGAAGAATTATCCAGGAGGACTGGATGATACCATGTCCTGTCCCCCAACTTATGGGACCATATGGGCTCTTATACCAGGGTTAGCCCACTAATCTCCCTCCTTATGCCACGGGAAAAAAATAACAAGCCCTCCATATTCCATCTACCCCTAATGGTCAGCGTGCTATGCTTGACGAGTGTCATCAGGCACAGGGTCATGCTTCCCAACATGGGCTTCTCAGACCCAGCAAAAAAGCATGGGAAGAAAAAATTAAGCCAAAACAAAAGGGACGGCATGGCATCCGCAGTGGAAAGCTGATTGTTCTCCACCACCTTCTCTCTCTCCCACTGAAAGGGTGAACAAGATCCAGAGTTTTCCTTGCTAAAAGAAAAGAACACTGCTACTCTGCAATGCACCAGGGTTGAGGCCCCACTTGCACAGATTAACATAGGGAAAAAGTTAATGGGTATTAATCCTAATCCAGAGTTTTCCTTGCTAAAAGAAAAGAACACTGCTACTGTGCAAACACTTGCACAAGGGTTGAGGCCCCACTTGCACAGATTAACATAGGGAAAAAGTTCATGGGTATTAATCCTACACCGATCAGCGACAGCCGGAGTCCAAATCAATGGAGTGCTGGCACCAGCGATCTCCCTCCATAGGCCAGTCAGGCAGGGAGATCCCTTTACCACATGCCTTTTCTTTGTCATAACGAAAGCATTATCTGCAAACCTCAGAAAGCACAAAGATCTGACACGAATCCATGTGGCGGCTATTCCAGGGGAAGCCATCCCCATCTGCTCCCTATATGCTGCTGATCTGTCCCTGATGATGGATGGAACCCACAACCACCTCATGGAAGTCAAAAGACTTATGGACAGATTTTGCGGACTCTCTGACACAGCTGCAAACTGGGGAAGCAAGACTGTGGAATGGTGAATCAACCACTATGGAGTAAGAACACCACAGGAATGGGCTAGGGAGTCGGACTGACACCCTAGTACAGTAAACCACTCAACAATGACAACTGGTCTTTCAGACCTGTCTTGGAAAAACCGTCGGCATGGAACAACAACAAACCTCCATAATCGGGAGGGTGGCGGTTATGAATAAGGTCATTGTCCTTGGGATACTTTTTTTTCCGTTTTTTCAAAAACCGCAGAGATGGGCTACTAGGGTGAGTGAATGGGATCTGACAAAGGAAAAGCTGACATTTCTCAACTCCAAAAAGGAGATCCACACAACCATCCAAAAGTTCAGCACGGACTGGCTGGGGGGGGAACAAGGGGGTAGGATGGCGACAGTGGTCTGGAAAGGAGGGATGGGAGAGGAATTGGGAAATGGGGAGGATCAGGAAATGTTGGTCAGAGACTATACCCTCACCTTCCACGATTGGACTCTTTCAGACCCATCTGTCCCACTAAGACCCCTATCAGACTTCTCAGAGCTTTTCCCCCCCGCGCCTTTCTCTATAGTAGGGATGTCATGGTATGGGGGAGGGTTTGAGTGAGAGATTAAGAAAGGAAAGGCTAGTGTATGAGGGCGACAGGTCAGAGGTATGGGATGCTGGACCAGGCTTCCAGTAAAATGGTTTTCCCAACTCCAGTTCCAAGTTCAGTTTCAGGGGGGAGGACTAGTTGTTGCAAGGCGAACAACAACCTGCACAGTCAATCCTCCGGAGATCGGTAATCAATGCTGGCAGGATGCTCAGAAAATGCTCCCTTGGTTCTAGTTTTAAAAAAGAAAGAGACGAGGGTTAGATGAGGGAGGAGGGAGTTAGTATGTAGCAGTAGAAATCTGGCGCCGAAATCAGGGTGAAGAGGCTCCCCCCCTGCTCAGTTAATCCCCTGGAGGGAGATCCCACTACCCATGGATTTGGATTAGTGTGACGGGTGTGGGACGGGTGGGGGACAGGTGGGTGGCAGTGTGAAATAGGGAAAATAAATGCAAAAAAACATTTCATGACCAAACAAATGAAGGAATAAAATCAAAAAAAGAAAAGAAAGTGCTCTTCTCACAGATGGTGTGTCAGATGTCAGGGCATGATTCACTGACCATGGCTTGGCAGTCGAGACAACTGCATGTGAGCCGGCACATGGACCATATTCATTGACAATACTCTGAGGCTTCCTTGAAATGGGCCACATTGCACGTTACTGGGTTGTTCTGACATAACTTCTCTTTGACAAAGGAGGGCAAGAGTAACTGCATACAGCACTTGCTGTAGGTGAGAGGATAGAACCCTCCAAAACACCTCCCAAACCACAATCACTTCTGCCTGTCTTCCAAGCATGGCCAAGGTACCACTGCCAATCGTCAGTGATTTTTTATAGATAGGAGACTTGAGCTCGTTCTTGCACCTGTTGATCCGGACGACGTCGTCGGCGGGCAAGGAAGGCAAATCACGCGGGACGAGTTCTTCAAAAGGGACTCTCCGGAGTTTGACAGGTACGCTGTCTGTGGTCAGCATACCGCCGAGGCCATGAAACGGTTGGTGGAAAAGGACTCCGCCGCGGTCAGAGTCTATGGCCTCCACTCGTACTCTAAAGTGCGAGTCGTCTTTTTCAAAGATGACCAGACACGAGGGTACTTCAGTGTCTCCGCCTTCAACAACACACGTGAGAATCGCGCCATGATGTTGTCCTTCCAAGACGCTGTGCATGATATGAGGCAATGGTGGATCGACAACAACAGAATGGAGGTCCCCAAAGCTAAGGTCAGCGAGAAGGATGTCGTTGCCGTTGCGCACCAGAAAAAGTGGCAAAACTTCATGAGGGCCTGCATGGGGAAGGCGTGCGACAAGGCGTTTGTGAAACAGGCGCTCGACAATGAATACAGTAAGGATTGGAGTAGTAAACTCTGGGGGTACATGAACCTCGCCACGTCCACCGCCTCAGTCTGGTTACTGGTGGAGAGGTTCTTCGCAATGTTCGAGGAAGGTCAACTGTCAATCGGCGATGGCAAGATCCGCTTGACATGCCGGGGAGGATGGAGGGGCGCCTGCCGGGCCCGTACACCGATGAGATAAAGGGACAAAGGTCGTTGTACCACTGCATATATGCGAGAGATGGTCCCAAAGGCTCCACCGTGTCCTAGAAGGATTTGTGTCCTTCGTACTTCAAAAACTTCGGGGACATAACATGCCGCGAGAGAGAAGTCGCGTTACTCCTGCTCGTGAAGGGGAAAGTGGTGGCAACAAATGTCAAAGTCACACCTCCGAGGGTGAACACAGAGTGCCTCCTCGACATAATGCGCAAAGAGAGATACATGGTCCGCATGTTCGACTATGTCGTGTTCCGCACCGAGGGAAGGGCAGAATGGAACGACAACTTCTTCATGTCGTACAAGGACCTGGAAGAGAGGTATGCGCCGAATGGGCTCGCAACTGAATGGGAGAAGGAACGAGAGAAGCTTCATCGCAACAAAGTGAAGACGGTCCCTTGTCGACTTGGAGAAGTGGAGGAGGCAAGGCAAGGTGCGGGCTTGGGGCCTATGAAAGTAATGTACAAGGAGGCTCCGTTTCACTTCAAAGTGTTCATATACACCGCCATCGATAAGCTCGATTTGCTTCGAGCGGAGGAGAAACGGATCGCCTCCAGTGCACGTCATCTTGTGTGGGACAAACTGGGCAGACAGACCACATTGCTTCCTATGTGCATGCGGTCAAAGGAGGTTATGGCAGCGCCCAACGACATCGTCACCTCTACGCAAAAAATGGCAAGTAGGGCCGCCATCGTGAACATCTCGGCCGCAAATTTCAGCAGTGCATGGACCTCGCAGGACTTCGATGCATTGTACACAATGATGACGAAGTGTTGTGGTCAGAATTGGGTCCTCATCTTCTTTGCACCGCAGGAGGTGCAAAGGGATGTCTTGCGTCACTTGTTCCGTTGGGAGGACGTCGAACTCATCCCTGGGTCCTGGAAACGGGTGGACAGGCCATCGAGTGACGTCACAAGGTACAGCAACATTGCTACGTCGAGCCGGGACTTGATGACCATCGTAATGCACGCTAAGGGAGAGGACCTAAAAAAAGTAATTGTCGCACCCCGACTTCTCAATGATCTCACAGAAGTGCATGTTGTGGACGATAAGTTCGGGAGGTGTCAAGGAAAACACGGTGGCGTCGAAGGCAATGAAAGTGCTGCGCATTCGATTTGGGAGCGAGAACCCGGCAAGTTGCGAAAGTTGTGCAGTTCATTCGTCGGAGAAGCGGAAGGTGTCATTTTGCTGGGTAGGGCGCACGCGGGTCTTGTGTGGGAGTTCATGCTTGCAGGTAATAATGTCATTGCCTGTGACGAGTCGGCCAAGGACATTTCATACTTAACAAAGTTCATTGACATACTTGTCAAGAATGACAGATTCGACTGTCGACTCGAGAAGCCGCGTTCCACACATCGCAACAATAGGGACATGTACCACCAGTTGGGACCGAAGAGAATGAAGGTGTGGAAATACCTGTTCCGCGATGCGCCGGAGGGTATCTTGATGGGAGATATATATATAAGAAAGCCAAGGTGACAGAGGCCCTCAGACATTATCACGGTGCTCTGACTGGTGCCTTCGAGACGTCAGTTGCTCGATACGAGATATTGAAGTTCAAGGACTATGCAGATCAACTGACGTTCAAGGACTATGCAGACCTCACCAAATCGGGTGAAGGGTTTAACCCCGTCGACAGCGAGGAAGACTCATCGGACTCCGCACTCGAGATTGAAAACGACACCTATGCACCCGGGTGGCGTGGGCAGTCCGCTGCCATGGAGCGCGACGGCAGTAAATATGGATCGGGTCGATCAGAGGGATGCTCGAACCCGCCACCCGCGAACAGTGTTGCCTCAAAGGTGGACCGGGTTGAGAGTACGCCTATCGAAAACGGCGAAGACGATGAGATTGATATTCCTGATGAGGCAACGAAGGTAGCGCCAGGCGATCCGATTCCTCCCAACTTTTGTGCGGACCCAAACAATATGTGTTTCTTGGATAACAAATACGCCCGTACTAGTGAGGACAAGTGGGGCCATGATATTATTTGGCATGACGACATTTTTGAGCCATGCATCCAAGGTGGGGAGTGGAAGATGGCGGTGAAGTATATATCCGGTTGGAGACCGTTTGCCCGATTGGGAAAGGACAATTGGCTGAAAACGACGGAGGCCGCAATTTTATGCCACGTGCGGAAAGAGAACCTCGGGGAGAGCGAAACCTCAATCAAAACAAAGGCGAAACAATTGTTCAATGCCTTGCGAGCCACTCAACAGTTGGAGTATACACACAAGTTTTACGCGCTGCATACGAGCCCCTCGCGCGGATCAATCGACTGGAAGGTCGACCGCACCACCGATTTGAGGACGACCGAGAGCATGGAGGTGGACTCCCAAGAAGATGTTGTCCCTGTGTCCAAGGCGGCCACAGGGAACACAAAGGGTGAACAAAGGGAAGATGTCGGGACCACGTCAGGCATGAAGGCTCCATTGCCTGAGGTGGGGAACACGTCCGCAGGCGAAAAGTCCATCATAGCCATCTCAGTCGCCACGGGGGATACATCAAAAGGTGAACATGTGTCACTCGAGAAGCCGTCCGAAGCGGGCACCACATACGGGAGTCTCCTTGCGACAGGTGCAGCAATGGAAGGCAAATTAGAGATGGAGTCGGAGCCCGCTGTTGGGATGGGCATCACAAGAATGTCGTTACATCCTCCCTCATGCACTAGCAAAGGTGATACACACTGTACAACAACACCACAGGGAGGGGCCACAGGGGATGACGGGAATGGGGGGAATGCAGAGGGGTCTCAACGTTCTCGCAATCTTGAGGACATGACCACGGAGGACGAGGATAGGGCAGAAGGCGGAAAGGGTGTGATCGATTCCACACGTGTGGAAAATGAGGGGTGAGACAGGGAATGAACTCGAGGGGATTCCTCTTCGCGGAAAATTTAGAGTTTTAATTTTTTTCTCATTTGTTTTAAATCTAGGTTTGTGGGTGGAATTTATTCTGATATACAATTGGGTTGTTTACTCATTTGTTTTAAATCTAAGTGATTGGTATTTGGCCGTTCCATTGTTTACACGATAAATGTGCGGTGAGCAGGAGTGTGTCGTAGATGCATGTGTGTCTCTCTAGATCCATCGATGTGCCGCGGTATGTATATGCATGTATGCCTTTGGGGTACGATGACGCAAAGGGGCAACATTCAGGATTGATTGATTGCATACATCAATGTCGTCCATGTAAGTGTAAGATTAGATAAACATATGATGACATATTTTGAATACATCGTTTTCGTTGTTCATGTTATGGTAAGGCACTTGCCCATGTACAAGTATCTCACCCCCCTTATATCCACGTTCCCCCCCCACTCCCCCCGACCACCATTTTTTACACCTCCGTCAATGTCGTGTTCGTCATGATTGTCGTGTGTAGTGCAAATTGCAACAACGGATGCAAGAAAGTGCAAACGAGGGTGGACAATGCAACTCGCTACGTCATCTTTATCAGAGAAGGAGATGAAAGCACTCTCGCATGTCATCCGCGAATACGGGAATAGGTTTCCAATAGCGAGCACACACAATCACGGGGCGAACGAAGTATTGAAGCTAAATCGAGACGGTTTTATTTTACTAGTCGGCGAAAGGAATTGGTTAAATGACAACGTCTTCAACTTCTACCTGAACCTCATCGCACTAGACAACTGGTGTAGAATCACACACGTAGAATGCAACCTAGAGAACGAAACCGTAATTAGAACAGGAAAGGGTCGCATTCCAAGAATATCAGTGGTGAACTTATTTTTCTTTGCCAAACTTTTTGACAACGAAATGGGATATGGAGAGCGAGAGGTGCAGCATTGGTCGAATGGCGTCATAATAAGTGACATGGACTTGATAATTGCCCCTTTCCATATCGCACACATGAACCACTGGACCCTCATTGTGGCTGACTTCAAGAGGAGGAAATTTGAATTTTACGACTCTCTCAGCCCCGGCATAGAACTGGCAAGAAAAGTGACCGACGGATTTGCAAAGTTTATGTTCGAAAGATCGATCGAGCAAGGCAAAGAGGTGGAAACGAAACCGTTCAATCACATATGGAACGTAGAGGGCGTGCCGAAACAACGTGACACTAACTCATGCGGGGTCTTCATGCTCGCATACGCATCGCTCTTGGCCAGGGGTCACCTTCCGCCTTTTTCTTTCACCGCTGATGACCAGGGTTGTCGACCCCCGGCCCCGGGACCCCGCCGGGGTTCTGGGGTTCCGGGGGTCGGCACCCCGGCCCCCTGTATGGAAAAAAAAAAAAAAAAAAAAAAA